CCCCTAGAGGGCACTGTTTGGTAGGATCCTGCTCCTTTCTGGGCCAGGGAAAGGGCCTGGCAGGCGTGAGGGTTTGTAGGGAAGGATTCAAAGGCCTTAGGGGCGGGTGGGCAACACTGTCTTGGCTGGGGGTGGGATGCTCCAAGGCCAGAGCTCTCACACTTGGTTCAAGGTGTAGCTTTGCTGAGTGCTCAAGGCCAGGGCAGGGCAGTTTATGATTTATTGCACTTTTATTGCCTGGGGAACTTGCCCAGAGTCAGCGGGAGGCACTGGGCTGGCTGCTGGGGGCAGGGCGGGGCAGTAGGCACACACAATGCACCCTCTGTGCCTGTCCCTGAGCTGGCAGGAGCACTGGGCCTTGCTCACTGCACCGGAGGTTTCCAGCCAGGATCTACCCCCTGGACTTTCTGAGGGGAGGGTGGTGGGCAGACCAAGGAGCTGCTCAACTCTGCCCTGCTGGGCAGTGTCTGGCCTGGGGGCCATGAACTGAATGTTCCATATGCTTTAAAATCTACCAGCCTTTGACCCCCTGCGGACTCTGCTCAGTCTCAGCTCACGATGTTTCCTCAGCCCTGTCACGCCCCAGAACCCTCAGCGTGGCCCTTTTCTCCCAGCCCCCTGTTCCTTTCCATCTTTGTGAAACTTTCCTCCAGCCACCCACACTGTTCCCTTCCTAGGCCCTATCCAAGCAGGTCTTGGTGGCGGTGGGGTGTGTTTGCTGCTTTCTAGGTCACCACAGAGGGAGCTGGGAGCTTGGGGATGTGGGTCAAGATTGTGGGGGCTGCATCTGAACAGGGCACTTCCCCAGGCATGGACTTCATTGGCTGCAGACTATTGTATCTTCAATCCAGAATCAATTATTCCTACTCTTGGAGCCTGGGGCAGGGATGTGTGGATTGGCATCTAAGACGGTGGTTTGGTGGTGGTGGGGTATTGCATGAGGACTGGGGTGAGCCATGAGCCCTAAGCAGGCAAGTTTCTCCCCCAGAAATGGAAAGGAGCAAAGCCCTAGCCCACAGACAGCAGCTTCTGCCTGGTGGATACTGTCTCCAGGACTGGCTGGTTGGCAAGGTCAGCTCCCCAGCCAGGGCATGGTTAGCTGCTGCTGTGCCTGTTGGGTCTGGTCTTGCCCAGCCTGGCACCCTGTGGTGTGGAACTGCTCTGTGGTGCCAGTCTCTGAGGGGGCCAATATCTTGGGACAACTTAAGAACCAAACGTGATCAGATTTACCCCCTGCTGCTTCTGCCTTGGTCTGGCCTCCAGCAGGCTGGCCTGTAGCCTTTGGCCCTTGAACTGTGTCTCCTGAGAAAGTTACCCCTATCCCAGACTCATGGGGAGGAGCTCTGGGGGCTGTATCTTGGGCCTGACTGACCCTCGCCTTCCGGGGTCCTCTCTGTGCCAGCCGTGCAGCGCATTGCTGAGTCCCACCTGCAGACCATCAGCAACTTGAGTGAGAACCAGGCCTCGGAGGAGGAGGATGAGCTGGGAGAGCTGCGGGAGCTGGGTTACCCAAGAGAGGAGGATGAGGATGAGGAGGAGGATGAGGACGAGGAGGAAGAAGAAGACAGCCAGGCTGAAGTCCTGAAGAGCATCAGGGGGTCTGGTAAGCTGAAGGGACTGTGAGGCATGGGTTCCACCACCATGCATTAGGCGTGGGTGCTCCTGGAGGATCTTGGAACACCCCTTCCAGTACAGTTTCATACAGGTACATGGCAATGACACCACGGGTCCTCCCCTCCTCCCGCCCCACAGAATCCTTAACTTCACCTATGATGTTGGCTTCCTCCAGTCTTGGCTTTTTCCTCTCACAATCAGATTTTCCTTAATGATTCCTCTCTTCCCTAAGAATTAAGGCAAGACCACATGAGGGCTTGAGGTTAGAAGTAAAAAAGGGGGACTGGGGTTGTGGCTCAGCGGTAGAGCGCTCACCTAGCATGTGCAAGGCCCTGGGTTCGATCCTCGGCACCATATAAAATAAATAAATAAATAAACAAACAAATAAATAAATAAAGGTATTGTGTCCAACTACAACTAAAAAAAAAAAAAGAACTAAAAAAGGACTTTCCACACAAGAGCAATGAGAGGGTGTGAGGAGATTCAGGGATAGTGGACTGAGAGAGCCCAATTTCCCCTGTGCCTGTATTTCTGAATCTGGGATGTGGTCTCTGCTGGGATGCAGGGGGCTGGCTGATTTGTCCTCTCCAGGACCCAATGACTGTTTCTTCCTTTTCCTTCCTAGGGGGATGGAGGGTGCCCTCTAGTGTCCAGATGGAGAATCTAGATTTAAGAACCAATTTGGTCCTCTGCACCTCTGACCTCAGCTGCCTGGGGGAAAAGAGAGAAGCTTAAAACCTCCATAGAAGGGGCCTGAAGGCAGAGGTTCCAGGTCCAAAAATCTCCATGGACCATCCTAAAACCCACAGAATTCTGGGAAGAAAGATCTCACCCCTCCCACAGTTATTTCTTCCAGTCTGGCCATGGAAGGCTGTGCCACATCTATCTACAGCTATCTATCCACATCTATCCCTCCTACTGCACCCTAAACTTTGTGGTTTCATTATTTATGGGAATGACAAACAGCGGACTATCCCTGCTTGAAGTATTTAACCCTTAAATCCAAACAAGATAGCTTGGGTCACCTGTCTGCATCTCTGACATTGAGGGGACCAGAGGACTGGTATTGTTAACTCAGCTCCAACTGAGACCCCGAGAGCAGGGAGAGGGAACCCGTCTCGCAGGACACAGGGAGAGGGGTCAAGTCTCCCAGGACAAGCAGGAGGGCACCGGGTCACATGACAAGACTACCAAGGAGCAACATTAACCCCCAGCACTCCTGAATGCTGGCACTGGGCTCTCCAGGCATTTTCTCATAATCTTATTTGAGGTAATCTACATAATGTCACTCATCCACAACATCTCCTTCAGCAAGGTATGGGCTGAGTATCTAAACCATATGTTGAGTCATTGGAAGAGTTGTTCTAGTCCAGTGCTCTCTCCACTATGCTATGGTGACTCAGAAAGCTTGGCCTCAGTCATCAGAGTAGCTCTTTCTCCAGGACATCCAGACAGACACTCAAAGCCTGCATTGGTTAGTTTGCGGTGAGGGAATGGAACCCAGGGTCTCACATGTGCTAGGCATGTGCTCTACCACGGAGTTAGACCTCCAGCCCATCAAAGCTTGTGTTTTGATTCCCTGTCTTCCATCCCTAGCTGGGCAGAAGATAAGCTATGGCCAGGGTCTGGAGGGGCCCTGGGAACGTCCGCCCCCTCTGGATGAGCCTCAGAGAGATGGAACCTCTGAGAACCAACTGGAAGACGCAGCACTAAATGGTAAGGTTTTGAGCCTGGGACGAAGAGTTGGAGTGGGAAACTTGGGGGGTAGGTCCAGGCCCTGACTTCCTCTCTATTTGCTTTGCAGAGCCAGGGGAGGAGCCTCAGCGCCCAAGCCCTCCTGAGCCTGGCACTTAAGTTCCCAATCATGCCTCTCCCCAGAGGAAGTGGAGGGGGCACCGCTGTTCCCTAGAAGCCCACTCTGCCCTCATCCTGTTTTGAACCCTTCCCCTCACCTGCTAGGGCTGCAGCTTCTAAGTTCTAGAAGACTAAGGCTGGTCTGTGTTTGCTTGTTTGCCCGCCCTTGGCTGATGCCCAGAGTCTCTGATGCCTATCCCTGCCAGTTGTTCCTCCATTCACCCAGTGGGAGGTGGGATATGAGCAAGCCCACGCTGGAAAAATCAGAAACCCAAAACAAGGATTGCCCCTTTATAATTCCACTCCTCAGATCCTCTCCCCTGGGCACAGGAGACCCACAGGGCAGGACCCTAAGATCTGGGGAAAGGAGGTACTGAGAACCTGCAGGTGCCCTTAGATCTTTCTCCATCCCCTCTTCTTTGGAAAACTCCAAGTCACTACCCCTTTCACTGGCTTCTACCAGGACCCAGGACAAGACTTTTTCTCCACAGCCTCCACATTTTGGAACTCTTCCCTTTATCACCCCTGCTCCTCCTGGGTGCCTGGAAGATGGACTGGCAGAGGCTGCTTTGTTGCATTTTGTTTGTGCTTTGATGCCAGGAATGCCACCTAGTATATGTCCTTAGAAGGGGCACACGTTGGGGGGGGGGGGGGCCAGGATTTCCTTGTCCTCCAGCTGTTCTGTCCCCTTCTCCTTCTTCCCTGACTCTAGACCTGAAACTCCCCCATGCTGTAATAAATCTTTGTAAATAACTGTGCTGAGACTCCTCTTTCAGGGGAGGGAGGAGAAGAAGGGAAGTAATGGAGTGTTCTGATATAGAAGGTTGGTAGTCATCCAAGGGTCAGGACCTTCACCCTAGTGTCCAGTCCTCTGGGAGTTTTTCTGGAGATAACAGGCTGAGACACTCAGGAGGGCCCACAGAAGTTCTGACTACTGCTATGATGGCTGAAAGGTGGGGTGGTGGAGAATAGAAGTCCATCAAGAGTAACTGTGGCTTTCTCCAAGGGACTGGCTCTTCATTCTCACAGATCTCCCCGCAGGCAGTTCCACAATGCCAGACCTGTGTGGTCCAATACCCATGCTATTTCCCATTCTCCCAGCCTTAGGGAGGCTTCTCACCGCCCCCCACCCCCAGTACTGGGCATTTACTGGGGCGGGGGCTGTCGGGAGAGAGGATTTTACATTCCCAGTCCTTTTTATTTTATTTTTTGGTTCTGGGGATTGAACCCATGGATGCTCTAACACAGCTATAACCTCAGCCCTTTATGTTTTATTTTGAGGCACGATCTAAGTTGCCCTGGCTGGTTTCAAATGTGCAGTCATTCTGCCTCGGCCTCCAGGGTCGCTGGGATTACAGGTGTGGGTCACCGCGCTTGGCTGGAAGACCCTCTTTAAACCTAACACACTGCAACTTTACTTCGAGCCCTTCTCCCTGGGGGCGTGGGCTGGGGGCGGGGCTGGGGGCGGGGCTGCAGTCGAACGCAATTCCTAGTTTGCTCTTGGGGGCGGGCTTAGCGGCGGAAGTGGCGGGGCTGGAGATCTCCTTCCGTTCTGAGGCGCTGCGGTGGCCCCGGAGCCGGACTACAGTTGGGGCTGGAGAGTGAGGCGGTGCTGAGATGGAGCAGGTGGGTCCTGCAGAGGTCACTGGGACCAGGTGGTGGTACGAGGGCTATCTCTTGCGGATACCGCTTCGCTGCCCGATGTCCGTTCTCGATTCCGTCCGACCTTTCTCACGCCCCCCGCACTCCAGGTTCCGCCCCCTTCTAGCCCCCGGCTGCACTTTTCCGCGCGCAGTGTTGGGGGTCTCAGACTCTGACCTTCGGAAGCCACGCCTACCTGAGAAGGCCGGGATAAGGACCCGGGAGGGCGTCCGGGATTGACTTCCAAAGCCTCTCTCTTAACTGTGAGGGCAGAGACGAGGGGACTGTATCTAGGTATTGGAGGCGGGAGGGGGGAGGGGTCAGAATCTGGAGAAAAACGTACACATTCCGTTAGGTTTGCAGTCTCCGTCTCCCTGTCATCCGCTGTCTCCCCAACTTCCTCTGGAAACGGCTGTGAATAACTTCCTGTATTCAAAGGGCCCTTTAAAGTATCTTTCTTGAGTTCTTAGAGGTCACAATACCGTTGACAATTGTTCCTAATTGACAGGTGTCCCTCCCCCATACCTTTGGCTTCCAGCGCATCTCCAGATTTCTTCCTTCTAATCCTCTGACATGAGGGCAGAAGTACCGCTTCATATTCTGCCCTGTTGCCCAACCCCTCTCTCTATGCACTGCTTCTGGATGGTTTCTTGTACTCATATAGCATCAGCTTTACCCCAGCTCAGTACCTAAATCACTGGCACGACCTCTCCGTGGATCTCCAGACTAGACTGTCCTGTTGCCAGCGGGACACCTCCCCTTCAGATAGAATTCACTGGGTCTAAATTTGAACTGATGTTTTCCTGCAGATTCATTCTTCCTCTGCTAGCCCACTCTAGCAAGAAACTTGGGGATTATCTTCCATTTCCTCTTTTCTGTCAATTCCTACATCTCAGAAGTGACCTGGTACAGCTCACTTCCTGACCCTCTTACTCCGCCTTCTCCACTGTTACCACTCTTGTTGACTTATTTCTCACCAGGTTGACTGTATTAGCTTCCCATAATCTTCCAATCACAACTACTTGCAACCCAGTCTCCAGTTTTGCAAACCATTTAGAACACAAGTCTGATTGTGTTGCTTCCTTGCTTAGAACTCTTTTATTGCTTTCCATTGCCTGCAGAAAAAGGCTGAATCTCTGGCGTGACTAACAGAGCTCTTTGTAATCTGACGTCCTCCCTAGTAATCTCCTGTGTGCATCCTAGGGTCCAGTAACATTGTGCTACTGGATGTGCCTTGCTGTTCATGTTTCTCTGCCATTGCACACACCAGTAGTTGCACACTACTTGTCCTTTAGTGACTTGCTTGTCATTTCTGCATCACTGCTGCCTCCACCCTGCAAGGTGAATTGCCCCTCTGTGTCCCCTTAGCACGCTGGCCATAATAGCATTGTGGCTGAGAATTATAGGTTCCTGAATCAGACTGCTTGGGTTCTTTTTTTTTAAAGATTTTTTTTTAAAGATAGACACAATATCCTTACTCTGTAATTTTATTTATTTTTATATGGTGCTGAGGATCGAACCCGGTGCCTCACATGTACCAGGCAAGCACTCTACCACTGAGCTATAACCCCAGTCCCCAGACTGCTTGGGTTCTGATACTGTTTTGTAACCTTGTTGAAGTCAGTGCCTCCGTTTCCTCATTTGTAAAGTAGAGAGAATAATGTGCCTTCCTCATAAGAGTTGTTGTGAGGCTTAATTGAAAGTGTATGTACAGTGCTTAAAACTGCCAGACACATGAATGCTCAATAAATTAATGTTAGTTATTATGATTACCTAAGAACAATCTCGCCTATTGCCTTGGTGCATACCTGTAATCCCAGTGATTTCAGAGACTGAGGCAGGAGGATCTGCAGGTTTGAGGCCAACCTGGGCAACTTAGTAAGATCCTGTCTCAAAATAAAATAAAAAGGGCTGGGAACGTCCCTCAGAGCACTTGCCTAGCATTTGGGAGGCCTTGAGTTCAATCACCAGTAATGTTAAAAAAAAAAAAAATAGTGTAGTTCAAGTCTAGTTCACTGGCTCTGATTTTTAATTTCATAGGCAGCTTGATGATAGTAGGTGTGGCTTGCTTCTCACTCTTTCCTGGGGCCATAAAGTCTGGCTCTTTGTCAATAAATAAAATGCTGGGGTGGAGGGCATGGGGGCAGGATCTGGATTTATCAAGTGAGGATTTAATGGTGAAAAAGGCCTAGACTTGATATCAGTCTGCTCAGGAAAACAAAGCTGAAAAGGGAAAATGTTACATGGTAAACATTAATTCTACAGAAATGCTGGGAACTGAGGGAGAGAAAGGCCAAATGCACCTTCCCAGAGGAGATGACAATTAGTGAGGGGCGTTAAAATGAGAGTATAAATTTACAAGAGAGAGGCAGGCATAGGCTGGAACATGCTCGGAGAAGGGAGAGCTGGGTCCTTGGAACAAAGCTCCAGTGGGTGCTGTAGGGTGAGGGGAGAAGGGAGGTGAGCTGAAGAAGACACAGGTAGCATCCTCTGCTGAGTCTTTTTCTCACTTGGCTGTGAGGAAGTGCCCCTGGCTTAGGAGCCAGGGTTACTCTGGGGAAGTCTGAAGTACCTGGTATTTGGAGACAGGCTCCATGGGGTGGGGTCCCTTTGCATGCCTCTGGTTGGGTCTAGGCCAGTGTCAGGACTTTTGTTCCTGCTCTTGTGCCTGCCTGGGATGCCCTTCCTCCTTGCCTCTGGCTGATAGCTGCTGATTCTTAAGGCCTGGGCTTTGATGTCCTCTCTTCCCTGACCTCCCCTACTCCAGCCCTGGGATCCCACAGTCCTTTGTTCATTCCTCCCTGAAAATGCTGATTTCAGCGTGAACCACACATTTATCTGTAAATCTTCCTCCCTGAATTAGAGCCCCTGATGGAAAAGAACAGGGTCCTGCAACCCCAGGGACTGACCTGGTATCTAGCACGTTGTAGGCTCTCCATACCTGGGGGTTGCATTCACTTGAGCTCCCACACACCTAGGTTTGTTTGGGAGGGTAGTGTGGGTGAGGCCACTAATCCTGCACATTTGGCAGCTCATCCTTGTTCAGTTGAGTGGTGGAGCTTATTGGCTCCATTTTATAGATGAGAAAGCTGAGAATCAGGGTCACTCAGCAGGAATTTGAAGAACTGTCTCCTGACTCCAGGACCACAATTTCTCTCAGAAATTGCTTCAGGTCCCACCTTCGAAGGGGGCAGAGGATAAGGTGGTTATCCCACACGGCCAGTTGTGTGTCCTTTTGAACTTTGGCTGGGAAGAAGTTAATCCTGGCCTTTGTGCTGGGAGGAGCCTATGCTGACCAGAGGCTCCCCCACCCCCACCTTTGCTGGAGAGGATTGAGAGGTCTGCCCTCTGCATGACTAGCTCTTTCCAGACTGACGTTGGGGACTGGGCTTCCTCAGCCCTAGTTTTACTTAACAGCATTAAGGAGTGAGACTGGGCTTGACTCACTGGCCTCTGAGTAGGCCCAGGGTCATGGGGTCACTGAACTGGGGGCATCCCTGACATTCAGCCCGGCCTCACATGGGAGGAGGTGGGAGGGCTGTGCAGATCCTCTTGTTGGGGTTTTTCAGTGAACTGCTCCAACAGAACCTCCCTCTACAGGGAGGAGGGGTGTTCAGTGAAGAATCTGGCTTCTGTTTCCACTTGACTCTTCCACTTCCCCAGAAGGAAGGAGAAACACAGCCAGGCCTTGGCTCTGTGCTCTTATTTGCCATGCCCTCCACTCCTTAAATTTCCACTTCTCTGGGCAACTTTCCAAACCTTCTATGGGAGAACAGGTAGGGGCTAGAAGGCCAGCTGTTCCCAGGCTGAGGGCAGGAGCCACTGAACCCTGAATTACAGGAAAACTCAAAATGTGCCATCCCTGGCCTGAGGCTAGGGCCCTTCCTGTCTCCAGCAGGACTGGTGAACTCTCAGTTTGGGCAGAGTACTCTGCTGGACATGCCTGTCCAGGGCCCTGCCTCTCATGCCATATCCATAGAGGGCAGTACTAGTAGTAGTAGCTACCATTAATTAAGCACAGACGCTGTGCATATAGAGTTTCTAATTCTTTTAAGCTCTGTGAATTGTGCACTATCTTATCCTCATTTTATGGATAAGGAGACAGAGATTCAGAGAGCCTCAGTGATTTGGTCAAGGGCACACAGTCTAATAAGGAATGAGCTTGGGCTTTTGATTCCAGATCTGGTGCTGACCCCAAGACTTGCACCCTCTCTCTGTTCCAGGGTAGACATTATGGACATACACATCAACTAACTTACTAGACATGTGCTATGGCCAGGCACTGTGGCCTGGGCTTCAAGGGCTTGAGAAGAGACAGCCTTTTGGCTCAGGTGTGCTGTGGATAAGGGAGGTGCTGACCCAGAGTCGTGAGAGGTTGGGGGAGCTTGGGTGGTAGAGAAAGCTTTGCCTAGGAGGTATCACTTGAACTCGTCTCTGAAGGGTCTGAGTTGTCCCCTAGTGGACATTCCAGAATGAGGAAGCAGAAGGATAAACAGCTGTGGTGTGACCTGGGGTCAGGAAACTATGGAGGAGTGCTGAGGCCCTGCTGAGGGGACAGGCATCATCAAAGGAATTCAACTCAGTTTGAGTCTTCTCCTTGCATGTGGGGACCCAGGGGAGGGAGAGGAGCAGCCATCCTGCCTCAGAGTGCCCAGAGAACCAGTTTCCCTTGCCTGCTGTGGAGGGGCTGTGTGGGCTCTGGGCAGGGCAGGCCACCAGATGAGGGCAAAGTCCAGCTGCAGGAGAAGCTTTCAGGACAGGGAGGGGTCAGGTGTGAGTGTCCAGTGTACCTGTGCACCTGCCCCTGGAGAGAAGGATGTAAATCCTGGTTCACATTTCCGGAACATCTCCTGTGAGCCTGGTATGCTTCTGGTACTGGGCACTCAGCAGTGAGCAAAGATAGGAGTCCCTGCATTCCAGTGGAGAAGATGGGTGGTAAACACAGACCAGCAGGGCTCGGGGGTAGTTGTGCACATGCCCAGCAC